GCATGCACGTGGCTCTTAGAGCGGTTAGCGTTGTTCTGCAGCACCTCCTGGAAAGAGGGGGTGCTGTTTGCTATTTGCTGGGGTGGGCATGCTCCTGGGGGACACGTGGGGGTGGGGGCTGCAGGCAGGGGCCGTGGCCCTAAGCCGCGCCCTGTGTCTGGTCTGCCTCTGCCAGCAGGAGGGGGGAGTGTGCCCAGGTTTGCAAGCTCTGTGAAGCGACCCCCATCTCGGGCTGGCAGTGGGGCTGTGCTTCCAGGCGGCTCCCCTGGTGCTAGCAGGGCGGTGTTGGTGAGCGGTGGCTGTGTTGTGGCATTGTTATGCAGTGGTTTTTCGGGATGGGAGCTGGACACCCTGTGTCTGGTCTGCCTCTGCCAGCAGGAGGGGGGAGTGTGCCCAGGTTTGCAAGCTCTGTGAAGCGACCCCCATCTCGGGCTGGCAGTGGGGCTGTGCTTCCAGGCGGCTCCCCTGGTGCTAGCAGGGCGGTGTTGGTGAGCGGTGGCTGTGTTGTGGCATTGTTATGCAGTGGTTTTTCGGGATGGGAGCTGGACAGGATGGCTCCTGTTGCGTCGCTGGAGGGGCCTTTAAACGGCGGTGCAGCTTGTGTGACTTGCTGGGCTTTGGCCACACCTGACCGGCTCCCCAGAGTCTCCTCCGCTTGCAGGGCTAGACTTCCCCAGCCGCGATCCTTGTACCAGCCCGGCCCGAGGAGCCTGCTAACACAGGGTCATCCCGATGCGTGTGCACCCATCCAGCCTGCACCACTGTCTGTGTTCCTAGCCCCCTGGCTGGGTGTCTCAGCCCTGCTCCCGACGCACACAGCATGCGAGGGGCTGGTCTGATGGCTCGCGTGGCTGCGGCACAAGAAAGAGGCTTCCTGTCAGTTCAGCTCTGCGGTGTTTATCTCGCATGTTGTCTGTGACGCCGGTGTAGCAAGCGAGGGACTTGCCTGGGCCAGGCACAGCCGAGGCAGATGCTGTGCAAACGCCCCCACATGCCTGTCAGTAGAGCTCCTTTCTCTGCCGCTACCGTCCTGGGCTCCTTGCCAAGCTCTGCTGCTTTTCCTCTCCTGCCCCAGCCCTAGGCTCCCCGGGCACGGCTTTTCCGATGCCCCTGGTCCCAATGCCCTGCCCCCGCCTGTTCCATTCCCTGCCCCCACATCCCTTGCTATTGTCACGGGGCTTGTAAGTCGAGAGCTGACACCTACGCAGAGGAGCCAGTAGCTGATGGTTCGTGTTAGCAGAGCAGATTGGGTTGCTGGGACGGACCCTTGTCACGTTGAAAGGCTCGCTCTGGCGCTGTACACGTCGTCTGACCTTGATTTGGCCTTCGCCGCGATGTAGCCAAACTTGTATTTGTCAGCCGTGCGTAGCCCTGCTGCCTGCGGTACAGGTGTGTGTGTGTGTGTGTGTGTGTGTGTGTGTGTGTGTGTGTGTGAATAAAAAGGGGTAATAGGAGTATTTTGATTATGGGAAATGGACTAGAGTAAAACTGAGTGGCAGTTCCCTTCCGGTCATTCCAGTCTGAGACGTAGTGGGGTAAAAATGCCTCCCTCTTGTCCCTCGTGACATCAGTATAGTCGTGAAGGTTTTTCGCCTTCCTCTGTAGCATGGGGCACGGATCACTTGCTGGAGGATTCTCTGCATCTTGGGATCCTTAAACCATTTGAGGACTTCAATATCTGAGAGAGAGGGGAGAGGGTTATTCCAGGAGTGGGTGGGTGAGATTCTGTGGCCTGCACTGTGCAGGGGGTCAGACTAGATGATCGTAATGGTTCCTTCTGACCTTAGGCTATGAGTGTGTATTCAGACTCGTCTGCCTGCTTGAGACACAAAGTAGGTGGATGTGCTTTGCGCGCCGCTGGGCAGAACGACTTGGCAAGCTCAAGGCTGGCTAAGCCGGAGTTTGCCACGCAGAATTCCCTGCTAGCAGGCAAGCATGAGCTGGAAGGCACCCTGGCTTGGCCCTCCCAGCCTAGGCGAGCTGACAGCTAGCGGCTGGGAAGCAGTGTGCTGAGGGAGCCGGCCGTACGGGTGGAGGTGTGTAATCCCATGGCATAGCTGCATTGCACAGTGGATGGCTATGCGCTCTGGGGGGGCTAGTCCATTTCCCCTCCCCCACACGGAGAAGGATGCTGCACTGCATCTGATCTTGCTTGACGCCCCTCCGCGGTGCCTGCCACCCCATGCCTCCTCCCCCCAAGCTCATGCACCCCCCCCCCATCCTCTTGTGGTGCCCGGGCGTGCG